CCCAGCACTTTGGGAGGCCGAGGCGGGTGGATCATGAGGTCGAGAGATCGAGACCATCCTGGTCAACACGGCGAAACCCCGTCTCTACTAAAAATACAAAAAAATTAGCTGGGCATGGTGGCACGTGCCTGTAATCCCAGCTACTCAGGAGGCTGAGGCAGGAGAATTGCCTGAACCCAGGAGACGGAGGTTGCGGTGAGCCGAGATCGCGCCATTGCACTCCAGCCTGGGTAACAAGAGTGAAAACTCCGCCTCAAAAAAGAAAAAAAAAAAAAAACCTCGGGACACCAGCCAGGCACAGTGGTTCATGTCTGTAATTCCAACACTTTGGGAGGCTGAGGCAGGCAGATCACCCAAGGTCAGGAGTTCATGACCAGTCTGGCCAACATGGTGAAGCCCTGTCTCTACTAAAAATACAAAACTTAGCTGAGGCAGAATCACTTGAACTGGGAGGAAGAAGTTGCAGAGCTGAGATCACGCCACCGCACTCCAGCCTGGGAAACAGAGCAAGACTCTGTCTCAAAGCAAACAAAAACCCAAGACCGTAGCAGGCATGCAATGCACACAGGCACCTGGATGTCAAGAGGAACACACAGGTAGAAGAAGACACAAGTGGCTGGACATCAAGAGGAACACACCAATTGACACCAGCAGATGCCAGCGGAACAACACAGAGTTTGGCTGGGATGGAGGAGAGGAGGAGAGCCCGGCCACTGGGTGGCCTGACTCTAGCAGAAAACCACCTTCCCACCCCATCTCCCTTCTGGTTCCCTGATCTGCTGAGAGCTACTTCCACTTAATAAAACCTTGCACTCAATTGCCAAGCCCACATGTGATCCAATTCTTCTGGTACACCAAGGCAAGAAATCCCAAAATACAAAAAGCCCTCTGTCCTTGCGATAAGGCAGGGGGTCTAATTGAGCTGACTAACACAAGCTGCCTACAGATGGCTGAACTGAAGGAGCTGTAACATAAGCCCTTCACCCCTAGATGCTGCTGTGGGGTCGGAGCCCCACAACCTGCCTGTCTGCAAACTCCCACTAGAAGTTTGAGCAGTGGGGCACTGAAGAAGTGAGCCACTCCCCCTGTCACATACCCTTTGAGGGCGCTAAAGGAACTTTACCCATTTCAACTGGGAGCTTGTCCAGCATCTTGGAAGGTGAGTGTAAGGAAATGCAGGTCTGCCTCTCTTCCAAAACCCTGTCACCACTCTATTTCCTGCAGGAAAGAGGCTCTGTTTCCCTTCCTGGAGTTTTAAAACTGCTCTGACCGGCCAGTTAAAACCCCCAGACTTCATCTCTTTTCTCTCTCTCAAGGTTTGAAACGGCTCTTATCTCTTCCTTTATAATGTTAAATGTTTTGCTACAGGCTGCAGCTTGTTACTCAGTAAAATAAGTGTTTGGCTCAGCCGCCAAAGATGCAAATCAGACTAACTGTTCCTAGAGGTGCCACCTATGCCTCACCCCAACAGATGCAGACACACACTGCTCAGGGCACCTCTCCTTATCATTTTCTCTCCCAGCTCAGGCACCTGTGCATGCCTGCAGCAGGCAACAGCTGAGCTCAACAGCCATGAAGGGGTGATGGGGAGCAGAGCCATGGCCACTGCTGCCTCTACCTCTGCCTCCAACATCCGGGACATGGGGGATGGGAGAAAAACTGGTGGTACCTGGGACCACACAGGACACTTCTTGCACACCATGCCAACAGAACATTTCTCCCTGGGCCATGGAATTCAACCTGGTCTGAACCAGGGGAAAAAAAATATAAGGATCAGAGGGACCCACTTACACTGAGCAAGGGGTTCTTCTCCCAGGATGGGTCTCCTCCTTTCACCCTTAAACTATTTTTCTCTTTTTCCTTTTCTTTTTTAAAAATTTATTATTATTATTTTTTGAGATAGAGTATCACTCTGTCACCAGGCTGGAGTGCAGTGGAGTGATCTCGGCTCACTGCAACCTCTGCCTCCTGGGTTCAAGTGATTCTCCTGCTTCAGCCTCCTGGTAGGTGGGACTATAGGTACGCACCACCACGCCCAGCTAATTTTTGTATTTTTAGTAGACAGGGGTTTTCACCATGTTGGTCAGGATGGTCTCAATCTCTTAACCTCGTGATCCGCCCTCCTTGGCCTCCCAGAGGAACCACCCCTGCTTGCCGATAACTGTAAATTTGGCAGGGCACATATGAGACTCTCAACAGATACAGCCTCTGAAATAACCTTTTCAGTCCCAAACTCCATTCTGGGCTTAAGGCTGAGGCCCTAGAAAGAAAAACCAGGTCAGAGGGATCCAAAGCCAGGCAACAGCCACAGTGTAAATGGGAAGGACTGATTCCTGCTGAATGAACACCCCAAACCCATGGAAGGAGGCCATGCTTCATGGCATAAACAGGCTGAGGGAACTCAAAGGTTACCAACAGCAGGAAAAAATGAAGGCATAGGCAAGAGCGGTTAATTCCTATTTTCCAGGTTTTCCCTGCTTCATGGGTACATACTGTATCAGTACCGATGGCCAGCATCTGCCAAGGTCACTGGGACTCAGGGATAAGAAGTGGAAGGGAAGGGAGGATGCTGTCTTTCTCTCTCCATCAAACCCTGAGTATTCACTGAAAGAAGGAAGGGAATTAGGGACACCTCTATTCCCTGTCTTTTAGAATGAGCAAACAGTTCTCTTCACCAACCCCTGCTTATACTCCTCTGGAGTGTATCCTGAACCACTGGGCCTGCTTTGACCCTCTGAATCTGGGGAGGGGGGCGGAATGCCCTACAGTCCTTTGTACAAAGGTTTGGCCAAATTATAAAGGATTGGCTGGGCCTCAGGAAGGAACGATTCATTTCAATACTATCCAGCAGTTGGAACTTTTCTGCAGATGTGAGGACAGATGGTCTGAGGCCCCATAGGTGCAGGCTTTCTATACCTTGCAAGGCAATCCAGATCTTTGCCCACAGTGCAGGATTGATCCAGCCTTCCTGTTCGCCATCTCAGGGAAGGCTACAAGGGGCAAGCCCAGGGAATTAAAGACATGAGTCCCAGACGCACCCCAAGCAGAGAAGCCAGCTCCCTCAACCCCTGCTCCTCTGGGTCTACTCCGACCTCCCTATCCAGCTCCAGCCTCTCACTTGCCCCCTCCTAGAAATCCTCGCTGTAAACATGCCCCAGTCTCACTCTTGTCCCTCCAACAGATGCCGAGTTAACTTGGGCTCAGTAAGTTCCAGGTCCCCTTCTCCCTACAGGACTTAAAGCAAATCAAGGGGGATCTTGGCAAGTTTTCAGATGACCCTAATAGATATAGAGGCTTTCCAGAACTTCACTCAGATATTTGAACTCTCCTGGGAAGACATTATGTTACTCCTGAATCAGACCCTGATGGACACTGAGAAGCAGGCCACTCTGCAGGTAGCAGAGAGGTGTGGGGATGAGCCTTGTATCACACATAGCATCAGGGAAGAGGATGAATATTATCCAACTAGAAGAGAATCAGTACCAGTGAATGACCCTAAATAGGATCCCACTGATGAGATGGAAGACTGCAAAAGGAGACACTTTTAGGTGTGCATAATGGAGGACTTTCGTGGGAATAAGACCAAGCCTCTCAATTGTACTATGTTATACATGATCGACCAGGAATTTGATGAAAATCCCACTGCCTTCCTGGAAAGGCTAAGAGAGGCCTTGGTAAAGCACACCTCCCTATCTCCTGATTCAGTCACTGGACAACTAATCCTAAAGGACAAATTTCTTACTCAGGCAGCTCTTGACATCAAGAGGAAGTTAGACACAGGCCCCGGGACCAGATAGTACATTAGGGGACCTCCTGAAAGTGGCCACCTCAGTTTTTCACAACAGAGAAAGGGAAACACAAGAAAGAGGCAAAAGCTTTAATAGCCACCGTGCAAGCACACAAACCCCAGAATTCCCAGGGTACACCTGTTAACTCCTAAACATATGGCAAGAATAGTTATCTGTCTTCTAAAATTTAACCGCTCCCATACAAGGTTCAATTTCTTTCACCAGGTTGAAACAGCTCAGGGTACAATGTTGTTGTTAGTATATCTCACTTCTTATCTCTGTACTCTTTGGCACTACATTTTTTCCTTGTATAATACACATGTTTAACCAATGCATACTAAACCTTATAAAACTTGTTTTATTTTCCTCTTATGCTTAGAAGCCATCTAACTCCAAACAGGCAACCGGAGCCTCGGATGAATGGCTCCCCTTTGCTAAGAACCCTTAGATAGACCTCTGGAAGGAATCTAACTACTATTATCCCCAAAACAATGCCCCCTGTCAGCAGGAAGTAGCCTAAGACTGACTGTCATCCATATTCTAATGGGAGTTATATGTACCTCTTCACAGGGGGAAATGGTACAAGAGAGGGGCAGGGAAGTGCTGGGAAGGGAAGGGTGGAACCCCATGCTGGTCCCTAATGAGGGCTCAACCCCTGAGTCTGTCCCCATGGACCTGGGTAAGGACAGGCCTTTCTGTTTTTGTGCTCAAATGCTGCATTTCCCAAGACCACCATGGCCTGCCACATCCCCATCCTGTGCCTATAAAAACCCTGAGACCCTAGTGGGCATGCACACAAGCAGCTGGACGTCAAGAGGAACACACAGGCAGAAGAAGACACAAACGGCTGGACATCAAGAGGAACACAGTGGGGGAGAAGCACACCAACAGGCACTGGCAGATACCAACAGACCATCCACCGGTGGAAGGACGCAGTTAGGCTGGGGCAGTCGGAGGAGAGCCTGGCCACTGGGCGGCCTGACTCTAGGGGAAAACCACCTTCCCACCCCATCTCCCTTCTGGTTCCCTCATCTGCTGAGAGCTACTTTCACTCAGTAAAACCTTACACTTGGCCAGGCATGATGGCTCATGCCTGTAATCCCAGCAGTTTGGGAGGCGGAGGCAGAGGTGGCGGATTGCCTAGAGTTCATGACCAGCCTGGGCGACGTGGTGAAACCCTATCTCTAGTAAAAATACGAAAAAAAGGCCCGGGCTGAGAGCGTCAATCTGCAGCCGTAGCCGCGGGGCTGGACCTGCAGCGAGCCGGCGGCGCGGAGTAGGGCTGCGGAGCAAACATGAATGTTGGAGTCGCCCACTGTGAAGTGAATCCAAATACCCGTGTCATGAACAGTCGGGGTATGTGGCTGACATATGCATTGGGAGTTGGCTTGCTTCATATTGTCTTACTCAGCATTCCCTTCTTCAGTGTTCCTGTTGCTTGGACTTTAACAAATATTATACATAATCTGGGGATGTATGTATTTTTGCATGCAGTGAAAGGAACACCTTTTGAAACTCCTGACCAGGGTAAAGCAAGACTCCTAACTCATTGGGAACAACTGGACTATGGAGTACAGTTTACATCTTCACGGAAGTTTTTCACAATTTCTCCAATAATTCTATATTTTCTGGCAAGTTTCTATACGAAGTATGATTCAACTCACTTCATCCTAAACACAGCTTCTCTCCTGAGTGTGCTAATTCCCAAAATGCCACAACTACATGGTGTTCGGATCTTTGGAATTAATAAGTATTGACATTTTTTGAAACTGAACAAAAATTTTTATAGCTACTGAATTTCTTATAAGGAAGGAGTGGTTAGTAAACTGCACTGTTTCTGTGATAATGTGAAATGACAGGTATTTATGTTGGAGAGCCAATGGCTGGTCCTTCAAGTGCTGTTTTGAAGTGCAGATTTCTGTTAAATGATGCCTCTCTTTAATACATGTGGTATCTGAAGAGAGGCTTTATAAGCAGGCTGGGCAGGCCCAGCTTATAAGTTAAAGGGCAACACAGTGAAGATGTAGTAGATAAATTCAAGGAAATAAGAATTTGTAAGATACTAGGACCAGCATAACTTATAATGAATGGGAATTGTGTTAAGAAAAGAGCATTTTCAATCATTCAGTTATGGTTAAAGCAGACTTACATGTAAACCAGAATCATCTCTATATAGGTTTATTAAAGATTGTTTTTATTACCATACATATTTCTCTTGTTTTATGTAAGAGTATTATATATCCTCTTGTTTTATACAAGCCAGTTCCTACTTATGAGGGTACTTTTTTGGTTTTGCTGGCTCAATATTGTGTATTGATCGATGAGGTCATTTTTACATTTATTACATTACAGAGTTCATGGAGGTTCACCTTCATGACTGATTGGTGATAGAAGATAGCCAAGCATTTTACAAGCAGCCTCAGAGTCAGTGTTCTAATTTTGGAACAAAGTGGGTTTTACTGCTTTTCCAGACACAAGGCTGCTAAACCAATTGAGAAAATAATTTATTTCAAGCAACTGAAAAGTATATGGTAATTTAAAGGTATCTGCTTATTTGCTTGAACAATTTAGTTGGCAAAGTCTGTTATCATTTGGAAAAGGAAATATAAAAGGAACAACCGTATGGCCAACCTCTGGTCTGGCAGAAACTGCTTCTCTAGCAATAGTACCAAAGTAAGTAACAGTCTTTTTTTGGCAGGTCTGCGGTAAAAGATAACATTTTCTTTTCTTAGTCCTGCTCCTGCTCTCAACCCCCACATTTTGTCCATTAATATTTTGTCTTTGAATACATGGGTCTTAGTATAGATAGCTCAAAATGGTAACTGTCTTCAGAACAGCAACCACATTGAATTCTTGTGACTTAGGAAAGCTTCCTATAGTTGCTGACATTAACTACAAGAAATAACTATATACTACTTTAAGAAGTAAACATTCAAAAACAATCCCATAAAATTCAGATGTGATGAAATTTAAAAATTCAGTAACATTTATAAACAAAATTGAATGAAAAGAGTTATAGATCAAGTTAAACATCAATCTGTGTCAGTAAACTGACTTCTGGGGGTAATGATCATTGTTTTGTATTTCAAAAGTATTGAGTTTAGAAATCAGTTGTATGATACTACCTTTGTATATTTGTCTTTTCCCATGTATTTTTAAATAACTGGCATCTATAATAAAATTTTTCCTTGGTGTAAGATTATTTGAAAAGCTCTCCAAATTTAGTCATCAAAATTAAAGTGACATTTTTCAAGTTTTTGAGCAACTGAATTTATAAAATTAAAGTAACAAAAAACAAACAACAACAACAACAACAAAAATACAAAAAAAAAAAAATTAGCCAGGCGTGGCAGCGTGTGCCTGTAGTCCCAGCTGCTGGGGAGGCTGAGGCAGAATAATTGCTTGAACCCAGGAGGCGGAGCTTACAGTGAGCCAAGGTCCTGCCACTGCACTCCGGCCTGGGTGACAGAGTGAGACTCCATCTCAAAAAACAAACAAACAAACAAGAAAATAAAAAAATCTTACATTCATTCTCCAAGCCCACATGTGGTCTGATTCTTCTGGTACGCCAAGGCAAGAAAGCCCTGGATACAGAAAGCCCTCTGTCCTTGCAATAAGGCAGGGGGTCTTATTGAACTAACACAAGCTGCCTACAGACAGCTAAACTGAAAGAGCTGTAACATATGCTTTCTAGGGCTTCAGCTGTAAACACACACCCCTAGATGCTGCCTTGGGGTTGAGCCCCACAACCTGCCCAGCGTCTTGCAGGCTTGTCCTTCTGCAGCCCTCAGAGGTAGACAGCCTTGGTCCCCTGAGCCTTCTTCTTTGGTTATACTTCGCCACTCACCCTGGAACCAGGTGGCATCTTCTGGACCCAGGCTTTCAAATAACCTTCATATGCTAATGACTCAGAATTCTACCCAGATCTTTCTCCCAAGCTCCACAATCCCAGGTCCAACAGCTACTGAACACCTCCCTTTGTCTGAAATATATCATGGACAAACACAAAACATAACCCTTCTCTTCCCTCCAGTCATCTCCCCTGAGACTTCCTCCTCTGAGTGAGAGGCAGCGCCCAGGATCTCTGAACAATAGGACCCATCCTTAACTCTCCTCAATCCTTCACTCCATCAGAAACTCTAGAGGAGCTACTTCTGCCTGTGTAACTCCTACTCAGGCTTCAGGATTGAATTGGAGCATCAGCCCTCCAGAGAAACCTCCCATAGACTCTCAGACTAAACTGGGAACCCACCCCACCAGCATATGCTCTCAGACCTACACAGCCTTCTCTACTGCATGGAAGAATCAAAATAGATTCTTCAGGTTTGTGTCTAGACTCCACTAAATAATGGGAATGGTGGGGCCTTTCCATACCCTCCCTCCCAGCTCCAAAAACAGTTTGTCTACTTTTTATTTTTATTTATTATTATTATTATTTTTTGAGACAGAGTTTTGCTCTTGTTACCCAGGCTGCAGTGCAATGACGCGATCTCGGCTCACCGCAACCTCCGCCTCCTGGGTTCAAGCAATTCTCCTGCCTCAGCCTCCCGAGTAGCTGGGATTACAGGCACGAGCCACCATGCCCAGCTAATTTTTGTATTTTTAGTAGAGATGGGATTTCACCATGTTGACCAGGATGGTCTCGATCTCTTGACCTCATGATCCACCCGCCTCGGCCTCCCAAAGTGCTGGGATTACAGGCTTGAGCCACCACACCCGGCCCTACTGCTTCTCATTATGGGAATGACCACTTATAAGAACTGCCTAGAAGGAGAGCCCCTTGGCGTGGCAACCAAGCGCTCGAACCTAAGGCACACACAGTGGGACCGAGAGGCTCCGAAGGGAACTGAAGTCAGCATGCGCACAGACAAGCAGCAAAGGGAGCGTACCTGCCAATCAGGCTGTACTGGCCAGAGACAGCTGGACAGGAGGAGGAAAGGGTTTCCCACCTCCGCTGAGATCCAGGCCAGTCTGCAGTTCACAGGGTGGATATCCATTACCTGCCACACAAGGCCAATGGGAAAGTCACAACAAATACCAAAATGTCATGCTTCAAAGGCCCCTTACATGACAATTTTATAACCATATGAAATTAAACCTACTCGCCCATTAGAAATACACTACAAGGCGGTTGCAGTGGCCCTCGTCTGTAATCCCAGCACCATGGGAGGCCGAAGCGCAAGAATCGGCTAAGGCCAGGAGTTGGAAACCTGGGCCAGATGTCAAAACCCCACTTTTACACAAAAAATTTTTTAAATTAACCAGGTATCAGGGTGCACGCCCTTAGTCTCAGCAAGGTGGGAAAATTGCTTGAGCCCAAGAATTTGAGGCTGCAGTTAAGCTATGATCACACCACTACACTCGAGCCTGGGTGACAAAGTAGTGTGATCATAGCTCCAGCAAAGCATAGCAGCAAATTGACTCCTTCACCAGTTAGATTTTTTTTTTTTTGAGCCCAAGTCTCGCTCTGCTGCTTAGGCTGGAGTGCAGCTGTGCGATCTCGGCTCACTGCAACCTCAGCCTCACGGGTTCAAGCAATTCTCCGGCCTCAGCCTCCAGAGTAGCTGGAACTAAATACAGGTGCATGCCACCATGCCTGGCTACTTTTTTGTCTTTTTACTGGAGACGGGGTTTCACTGTGTTAGCCAGGATGGTCTCGATCTCCTGACCTCGTGATCCATGCACCTTGGCCTCCCAAAGTGCTGAGATTACAGGCATGAGCCACCACTCCCGGTCCCTTCACCAGTTTTAATAATTTCCAGTTTTGTCTTCAGTTTCCTGAGCAAACAATGCTATCATCTCCAATTACGTTTGCTTATTCCATCCCATTCTTCATATTGATTTTTTGTGACATTAAGTAACAGACTACTATAATGATAGATGACTGGGGTAAATAGACATACTTGCTTTTTGTTAGTTTCTGTTCCTCCTTCCAATGGGAAACAAACTTCTGACTCAAAAAAAAAAAAAAAAAAAAAAAAAAAAAAAAAAAACCTTTTTAAATAACAAAAAGAGGCAGGGCGCAGTGGCTCATGCCTGTAATCCCAGCACTTTGAGAGGCTGAGGTTGGTCACTTGAAGTCAGGAATTTGAGACTAGCCTGACCAACATGGTGAAAGCCCATCTCTACTACAAATACAGAAATTACCCGGATGTGGTGGCCGATGCCTATAATCCCAGCTCGGGAGGCTGAGGCAGGAGTATGCTTGAGCCTGGGAGGTGTAAGTTGCAGTGGGCAGAAATCTGGAGGCAGGAGAATTGCTTGAGGCGGAGGTTAGAGTGAGCTATCGAACCACTGCACCATTCCAGCCTGGACAACAGAGTGAGCAGCCATCTTAAAAAAAAAAAAAAGAAAAAGAAACAAACAAATACGCTTCAATAAACTCAAAGATTCAAGACACTACAAAATAAAAAGAAAAAAAATTATCAACTGATTTTTAAAAAAGACTACCTATTTAACTTATAAACTTTTGTGTAAAGAAAATTTACAAAATAATTTCACCTTTGTTTTTTGTTCCTGAATGTAAGAAGCGGGAAACCATAGTCCAGAGCCACTGATAAAGACAACAGTTATTTTTTTTTTTTTTTTTTTTTTTTTTTTTTTTTTTTTTTGAGACGGAGTTTCACTCTTGTTACCCAGGCTGGAGTGCAATGGCACGATCTCAGCTCACCGCAACCTCCACCTCCTGGGTTCAGGCAATTCTCCTGCCTCAGCCTCCTGAGTAGCTGGGATTACAGGCACGCACCACCATGCCCAGCTAATTTTTTGTATTTTTAGTAGAGACGGGGTTTCACCATGTTGAACAGGATGGTCTCGATCTCTTGACCTTGTGATCCACCCGCCTCGGCCTCCCAAAGTGCTGGGATTACAGGCTTGAGCCACCGCGCCCGGCTTTTTAACAGTTATTTTTTTAAAAAGAGATGGGGTCAGGCTAGGCATGGTAGCTCACACCACTAATTCCAGGACTTTGGGAGGTGAAGGCGGGTGGATCACAAGGTCAGGAGTTCGAGATCAGCCTGGTCAACCTGGTGAAATCCTGTCTCTACTAAAAAGTACAAACATTAGCCAGGCGTGGTGGTGTACTCCTGTAATCCCAGCTACTCAGGAGGGTGAAGCAGGAGAATCACTTGAACCCAGGAGGCGGACGTTGTGGTGAGCCAAGATTGCACCACTGCACCCCAGCCTAAGTGACAGAGTGAGACTCTGTTTCAAAAAAAAAGAGAGAGACAGGTTTCACTATGTTGCCCAGGCTAGTCTTGAACTCCTGGCCTCAAGCAATCCTCCCACCTCAGCCTCCCAAAGTGCTGGAATTACAGATGTGTGCCACCACGCCTGGCCAATAGTTATAAATTGTATAACATTTCTGTGTAACTGTATAACATTCACATTTGATGATGTGAATTTTCTGGAGCACTATACAGGAGTTAATTTGGATTGGATTTTCCCAAATTACTACATCTTAGGATTTCTCTCCAGTGAATATTGGGATAAGAAGACTTCAATCCACCAAAGTTGTGTTTGTGTGTGTGTGTATATATATACACCTAAGTATCATCAGAAAACACTCATACTTGTCCACAAATAGATGCTGCACATAGCATTAGTGCCATCCTCAGAGATTTATATATATTTGCAAGAAACATACTTTTTTTTTTTTTTTTTGAGACGGAGTTTCGCTCCTGTTACCCAGGCTGGAGTGCAATGGCGCGATCTCGGCTCACCGCAACCTCCGCCTCCTGGGCTCAGGCAATTCTCCTGCCTCAGCCTCCTAAGTAGCTGGGATTACAGGCACGCACCACCATGCCCAGCTAACTTTTTGTATTTTTAGTAGAGACGGGGTTTCACCTTGTTGACCAGGATGGTCTCGATCTCTCGACCTTGTGATCCACCCGCCTCGGCCTCCCAAAGTGCTGGGATTACAGGCTTGAGCCACCGCGCCCGGCAAGAAACATACTTTTAAGTCAATGGTATATTATCATGGATACAGGATATGCTTACTCCATAATCAGGAAATTCACTCCTTCACCAGTTTTAATAATTTCCAGTTGTTTTGTCCTCAGTTTCCTGAGCAGACGATGCTATCATCTCCAACTACGTTATTTCCTTTTTCTACCCCATTCTTCATATTTATCATTGTTTAGTGAAGCTAACTGACTACTGTAATGATAAATGACTAGGGTAAAATATATTTGGTTTTTACCC